GGCTCGAACTTGACGATTCCAGCACAGTCGCCGTCTTTGAGCAGTTTGATGCAGGACGGGAGTATCAGAACGGTCTGCCAGTCCTACGGAATGGACGAAATGACGTCAGTGAGCAATTAATAACGGGTATTAATGGCTCGATGCGTCATCGAGCTGTCAGGGCCATATGTAAAATAACAGTTATTTTCAGCTCGAATTTAGGGCCCCGGCACTATAGCGGACTGCAGAAACCTTTAGTCCCAGGTGAAAATAATAGGCACTATATATTATACTCTATGATATCATTACCCTCTCAAGATACTGTACTTGACGACTGTCAACAAGATGTCACCCAAGAAATCAGATGCCGAAATTAAGGAAGAGCAACGAAAGGTTGCGGAAGATGAAGATGTCGCTCCTGGTGCATTTCACTCTGTAACAAATTCAAACGAAAACAACATGGAGAAAGATGGCGATGAAGATGACCAACGATCGGAGCAACGCCGTCAAATCGTTTCGCAGTATGTTCTCAATGGCAGTGATGACCAAGATAGGAGTTCTTTTTTCGTGGAAGGCTCTCAAACTGAATGCTCGTCTGCCATGGATGATTCCCAAATCAAGTCCGAGGCAAAACGACAAGGTCCACTAACCCGGAACTCTAATAACTCAGGTGTCACTGCAGTCAGGGGAAAGAGTAATACCAAGGTTACAGGGCCGACTGTCCTGGCTACACGCCAGTCGATAAATGTCACTGAGGATGACGACGACACAACCGCTGTGCCACCTGGAGTCCCCCTTCGTCGCAGTCCATTTACCTACCGAGAAAACAATAACAATAACGATCCTACTACTACTGTTACCAATAACCCACCGCGCCAAGAGGAGGAGACCAAGGCGCCCGAGTCACAAGACGGATCAGAACTCGCTGCCGAGCTAGTGGATGAAAGGAAGGACCAGGAACGACTGAAACAAACATTGGAAAACGTGCTGCAAACACAGAATGCTGTTCAAGTGGTCGATGTGGAGGCGGAAGATAGACTCAAGCGTCAGCGACAGAGACGTAACTTTTGTCTTTATGCATTTTTGGGATCTGCTGTACTAGCAGGTGTCGTTGCTGCCGTTGTCGTTACTTCCAGCCGCAACCAGCAGCAGACAGCTGCGCCGACTATATTGCCCAGCATGTCGCCCACAATGGCACCGACTACTCGAGAGTCGGCTGTGGTCGAGGCAGTGGTATCGGAATTTGGGGACCTGCCAGAAGACGAGGATGCGCCACAACACGCGGCTATACAGTGGTTGACCGACATGGATACCACCATCGAATTCCCCTTGGATTCAGAAGAATCAGAACACATTTTTTTGGAGCGTTATGCGGCCGCTGTCTTTGGCTACTCCACTCAATACTCGTCATGGTTCAATAACGACAATTGGCTCGATCCAAATGTTTCCGTTTGCGACTGGTTCGGATTGACTTGTAATGATGATGAACGCATTGCAGTCTTGGATCTTGCTGTTCAGAACCTTGATGGACACATTCCAAGGTAAGCAGCAGAAGTATGCGATGTATCCATTCGTCCTCATTACTGTTTCAGTATTCCTCACAATTCATTCTGTAATCCAATCTGCAGTGAAATTGGATACTTGGACAATCTTGATTTTGTCTTTTTGTTCCGTAATAAGCTGAGAGGGTAAGAAAGTGAGAGATCGCCTTAGTCCTTTTCGTCTAAACTCATTTCTCATTCCTCAACTCTTCAAATCCATCGCAGTACCATCCCACCAGAGGTTGGAAAGCTCGGAGACGTCGATTTCATGTACCTGAACGAGAACTTGCTGACAGGTCAAATCCCTGATGAGCTCTCTGGCCTTTTGGATGCTGATGAACTCTTTTTGTTTGGAAACCAACTAAATGGTACGATTCCAGCAGCCTTTGGCGGTCTTGTTGACTTGGTGAACCTCTACATGCATGATAATAGGCTATCCGGTGAGATCCCAAGTAGTCTTAGCCAGCTGAAGCGACTTCAACGGTTGTATTTGCAAGACAATAACATCCAAGGTCAGATTCCTTCGGAATTGGGCGGTATCATTAGTCTTCAACGGATTCAACTTCATAACAATAGACTGACTGGACAGGTTCCCTCGGAACTTGGCGGTTTCCTTGGCTTGTCAGTGTTGACTTTGCAGGATAACAATTTGACGGGTGAAATGCCTGAGGACATCTGCGCCTTGCGTGATGCACCGATTGACGATTTGGAAGTGCTGGAAGCAGACTGTGCAACGAACGACACTGGAGTTGGAATGAACTGCACATGTTGCTCATTCTGTTGGTAATGTTACTCATTCTGTTGGTAATAGCAACAGCTAGCAAAATGATGGGCACTGTATGTCTCACATCATTGTAAGAATATTGAGGCTAATCCACTGATGAATGCGAAGACGAGTAATGGAACCACCAGCCTCGTCTTGCGGCTGCACGTATACCATTAATTGTCACTGAATTGTCAAAGCACAGAGCGTCGACGGTGTTGATAGGTATGCTACCGTGTGCCGCAGTATCTAAAGGATAGAGGACACGATGAATGATGCTGTCATCCAGATGACGGACTGTCGGATTAGGTGTCCTCTCTTCTTCGTTGTGAGTGAACAAAACTGCGTGGAGCGATTTTCGCGAGACGGGATCTGGTTGCTTGTCTGCGATGACCCTTGGCTGTTTGGCCAATAATGATGATCCTGCCGTCACCACTAGGGAGAGGGTCTTTGGCCCATCGTTGTTACATCATGCAGAAAGTCGCAAGATAAGAAAAAAAGAACGAAGCCCTCAAATTGTTTTTGGTTCAATGAAATGAAGCTTAGTTCCTCTATTTTCAGATTTCTTTTCGTTGAAAATGATGGGGAGTAGCTCCATCATACATGTATTCTCCCAACCAGATTTTTTGGCGAAAAGCACCATACCGCACACTGTAGGTATACATGTCAATTTAGACGTGCACACTTCCTTTTTATGATGAAAAAAATATTTCCTGTTCTTCTTCTATTCCAACAGAAACTGATACGCGAAAACGATTGATGCATTTTTCACCTTCGTTAAATATTACTTTCACTGGGTCGTGTGGTGAGTAACGAAAGCCACATTCAAATATTGCGATTTATAAAACTTTCGCAATATGTAACCATTGAAAAGACCCCGCACGTTTTCGCCTTCTCTGTTCTTGCATCGAAGCAGACGTGATTTCCTTTTCATTGTTTTCAACTTACACAAGTGAAAGCGACAATACTGTAAAGATGCCTAGAAGCACCGCGGATGAGATCAAAGCCCAGGAACGAGCATCGCATCAGATGTTGCGGTCCTCTGTTGTGGGAGGAGAGCAGGCCCAGTCTGCTTCATCTATGCCAGGCGCATATCAACAGTCATCAACTGCCGGATTTGTCACTTCAAAAGACACTGCTAGGGAAGCTGTTGTTTCCAAGTACGTATTTGACGGCCCCAGCAGTGAAGATGATGATGCGTCTGTCTCTGGACATGGCGATTACCCAACGCAACCCATGCCCTCGCTTTCTTACGAATCGATGAATCTGGACGGCAAGGTGCGGCGAGAGTCATCCGCCCAGAAGCCAGGATCTATCAGAGTCTCTGGGGGGACCAATCAAGCTGATGCTAAGGCAGCAAGAGCTTCTGCTAACGCTGACCGTGCCAGGGGCCGGTCCAGAAGCTTCGACTCTACTGAGCATGACGGCCTTGCCAAGGATATTCCGAATACCCGTCGGGTGAGTTCCAACGAAACATACAAGGCTATTAGTTCTTCTAACAAAAGAAGCGAAGTCCGAGAGAACTTTGGCGCTCCAGCAGCTCCACTGCAGCTCAGCTGCAGTACTTATAGCGGCAGCGGTAATTCTCCTGAAGATGATCCTTCAAGCCCAAGCACCATACAACAGCCCAATGCTAACAACGAGCGTAGAGACTCTGGGGATGGTTCTCAAATTTCTGCCCAACTCATTGATGAAATGCAAGAGCAAGAACGACTCAAGAATACCCTCAATAATGTCCTCCAGCAACAGAGCGCCGTTCAAGTGGTCGATGTTGCAGCTGAAGACCGCCTCAAACGTAAGCGACAGAGACGTAACTTTTGTCTGTACACGCTGCTGGCTGTTGCTCTTCTAGGGGGCGTCGTTGCTGCAGTTGTCATCACCTCTCAGGACAACAACGTTACCTTACCACCTACCATATCGCCCAGCATATCACCCACAATGGCACCGACTACTCGAGAGTCGGCTGTGATCGAGGCAGTTATAGATCAATTTGGAGATCTCCCGGAAGACGAGAATACGCCACAATACCGTGCTATTCAGTGGCTGACAGATATGGATACCACCATCGAATTCCCCTTGGATTCAGAAGAGGCAGAATATACAATGTTGGAGCGCTACGTGGCTGTGGTCTTTGCCTACACCACTCAATACTGGTATTGGGTCAACAATGACAATTGGTTGAATCCAGACTTACCAGTCTGTGAATGGTTTGGATTGACTTGTAATGATGATGGGCGCATTGGAGTCTTGGATCTTGCTGCTCAGAACCTTGATGGACCCATTCCAAGGTAGCATGCGATGTATCCATTCGTTCTAATTGCTGTTTCAGTATTCCTCACAATTCATTCTGTAATCCAATCTGCAGTGAAATTGGATACTTGGACAATCTTGATTTTGTCTTTTTGTTCCGTAATAAGCTGAGCGGACCCATTCCAAGCGAGGTTGGAAAGCTCGGAGACGTCGATTTCATGTACCTCAACGAGAACCTGCTGACAGGTCATATCCCTGATGAGCTCTCTGGCCTTTTGGATGCTGATGAACTCTTTTTGTTTGGAAACCAACTAAATGGTACGATTCCAGCAGCCTTTGGCGGACTTGTTGACTTGGTGAACCTCTACATGCATGATAATAGGCTATCCGGTGAGATCCCAAGCAGCCTTAGCCAGCTGAAGCGACTTCAACGGTTGTATTTGCAAGACAATAACATCCAAGGTCAGATTCCTTCGGAATTGGGCGGTATCATTAGTCTTCAACGGATTCAACTTCATAACAATAGACTGACTG